ATTTGCATTTTCTTACCACAACAAATATACTTATTTGGCTTAGTAGGTACAAACTTGGGTTTCAAGCACTTTACACAGAAATCATAAGCAAACTCTTTACAATCTTCGCACTCCATATATAGACTAACATATTTAAGTGCGCTGTTGCCCTCAACCACACTTGGASTGGGGGTCGTCCGTAGGTGGATTTTTGACAYGGGTCTTGCCCGTGTTGAGATTGCGCTGGAACCCCCATTCCCTATACTACTTCATTGATATTTGGGTGGGTCACAACAGTGTTCTCAATTTGTGTAGACCCAAAATTTATGTTGCCTATTATAATTAAAAAACGTTATCTCCACAGCGCATTGAGGTAGCAGAATGCGCTATACAAGTACAGTTATTATTATTATTATTAAAAGCGGTATTATGATATGCATTTTTTGTTCCAGTTTAGGCTGTTATATCGACCATTGTAGTTCAAGGTTTACAGTACAGTAAAAATAAATGGTTAAAAWTGTGTTTTCAGCTGTTTTTCTGACACCTTGGTTAATAGGGACACCCTGTTAATAAGGACAGTTTTGTCCGTCCCAACGGCGTCCTTATTAACGGGGTTCCACTGTACTATACAGATATTATTAATACATAAAGTAATGCTTTTTTTAAATAGTTTAATAATAGGTTTAACTAACGCATATATATAAACGATGGGGTGAAAAGAAGACAAAAGGTTTTGAGGTTTCTTTTGAATGGTCATTTGAGGTTAGTTCTTGCTCGAGGATGGCTCACATAGGTATTGAAAGTGGAGCCATACAAAACGCTCCCCTCCTTCCACCTGAAGCAATCTCAATTGACTATGCAGATAATTTGTAATTTTACATGATTCATTACATTCTATTATCATTGGCATTTTAATGACATAAATGACTTACCAACGTCTGGAATTATAGTTAAAATCTGTGCTGGTAAAACTCCAAATAGTCCTCTCCATTCGATGCTTTCTAAAAGCTGAACAACCTGGATGGAGTCGATGCCTGAGTAACTGAGATTGAACGTACTGATAATACTGCCATTCCTAAAAGATACGAGGGAATATAGAAGGTTTTCATTTCGTGACGTCAGAGCGGCCATGTTGGTGTACCAGAACAATACGTATTCTTTGCTCGGGGAATTAAACTTTATTTTTATGCGAAAACTGCGAAGAGGGTTTCTGTTGTTTGGTACACCAACATGGCTGCATTCTAACGTGAGTGATTATAACGCTCTATACATGATTCTTTTTCAGACTTTCAAAAACTAAACAGAGTCATAGAGACAGCCAGGCAGGCAGGAAAAGAGGAGAGTGCACTGCCGTTACGCCACCTAGTTCTTGATTCCCACAAAATTACTTTAACTTTAATTATACTAGATAATTCATTTTGAAATCATATTTTCTCGTTTTCTTTGTTTTTTTGTTTCTTTGATTGATGTTTTTTTTCTTCTTTTGCATAACATTAAACTTTTTTCTTGCATGCACGCTTTAGGGTGAATCGGAAATGTTCCAGCATGAAACTAACCTGTGTGAAAGAACTTCAGTGTAGATAACGTTGCTTTCAATAGCATAGGCTTGTTTAGCCTGAAAATGATAACGATAGATAAATTATTCGTCTCTCTGTTACAAATGAAACCCAACGAACCAAGGAGCCAACCAGCCAGTCAACCACCCACCCACCCAC